AAAGCAGAATATAATGTAACCTTTCAAAATGCTTCCAAAGTACTATTAATATTATGAGAAAACTAGAGGCCCAATGCATGAAATTTGTGCAAGGGCCTTGGCCCCCGCCGCCATGGCAGCCATCTCTGCCTCGGCCCCTGCCCACCACAGCTTTGTCCAGAAGGAAGGACATCCAGAAGGACGTCCGGTCTAATTAACATATTACATTATTATAGATAAGAGCTCAAGATATACTAAGTGAAAGAAGCAAAACTATCTACACTAATAAGAGAGACAGATGTAAATTGACCATACCTTTGCGACACCCACCAGCCAATCAGGAGTGAGTGTGCAAATTAACCCAACAAAGATGGTGGGTTAATTTGCATGTGCAGGTGCCAAGTGGCCCCAGCCACTCCGGGCCTCTGGGCAGCATGGGAAGGTGGAAAGGCAGCTCCGGGCTGGAATGAAGGCAGAAAGGTGGCTCCAGCCGGAGCAAAGGCAGTGCCGGCAGTCAGGGGAAAAAAGGCCTATTCTTGCACGAATCTTCGTGCATTGGGTCTCTAGTATATATAATAATCATCTTGATCATATGAAAAAAAATATATAAATGTACACAATGTGGTATTAATGGGGATTTTTCTGTACTTTTCCCAAATTTCCCTTTTTTTGTAGTATGAAGTTATAACTGTCACTAGTAATACTGATAAATAGCTATGTCTATTAAGTGCCAGTACTACACAGAATAATTTATGTATATTTAATCCTTACAACAACTCTAAGAGCAAAGTATCATCTCCATTTGCCAGATGAACAATATGAAGATCAAAAAAGACTGTGTAACTTTGCACAGTCAGTATGCTGCAGAGCCAGGATCCAAACACTGAGGAATAGAGAGAAATGACTGTTCCTCTACTCACTAAATCAGGATTCTTATAGAAGATCCATGTTTAATACACCCTTAGTAAACTGAAAACAAAGCAACTAATGAGGCAACCAACTATTGTAATGCTACCCATGAATCTTAAAAATTAGATGATTCAAAGACATTCAAAGTAAACTATTTTGTTTTATTTTGGCTACTCATTTTTTTATTTATTTTCTAAGGAAAAATGTTCATCTCTAGAGAGTAGCATATAAGGGATATATAACTAGTCTCAAATTACAAGACTTTTAGTGATACTATGAGGTGAGCATTTTAAAGCCTTCAAAAAATCTGATTGAAGGCTGAGATTTAAGAATAATGAGAATATATATTTGCTAATTATAAACCATCCACTGGGTAATTTCAGAAGGATTAGATCATTGGGAAGTTATTATTTTCTGTTCACCAAGTATCACATTATATAAGAAACACAATTTTTAAAAAAATACACTTTAGGTATCATTTCAGTCCCCTTAAGAAGAAAAAATAGGAAAATTTATTTTATTGGAATAAACTTCCAACTACCTTTCTCTAAAAATTATAAAATTGACATATTTGTATCCTTAGTTTATACATCTACATAGCTAGCATAAAATTCTAGAAGTATATTTACAGTATATACATGATATATATAGAAAGATAAATTCTAAATAAAAGTGTCCTTTTTGAAATAAATTACAAGCTTTTTATTAGAGAAAAATAGAGTAATATTATTACACGAATTATTTTAAAAATACAAACTTGCTTGTTACTTACAGGAAATGGCTCCAATCCCTCTTGAATTACAAAGCCTTCAATAACATGGGTCAAGATCTGTGGTTTAACAATGGCCTGTGGAGGTTTGTTTTCTATATTGGGAATGCTATTGGGCATAGATGTAATATTATTCCTTGTGGTAGCAGCTGGAAGTAAGAGTGGAGGAGGAGGAACAGAAACATGTGAAGGATCTGAAGGAGATTTAATTACTGAAGCGCTGACTGATGCCACAGCAGGTAATTCCACTTCCTCTGAAAAAAAATAAAAAATAAAAAATAAATAAATAATAACATGTAAGTATATAGTTCATAATATATAAGAGAAAAATAACTCTAGCAATGATACATATAAACATAATCTTTTGGAAAAGAATAACTAGATTGATCATTCATTCATTCATATAGTCATTCTAGAAAAACTTACTATGAGCACCTATTATGTGCAAGGCCCAAAGGATATGGAGTTGAACACAATAGACCGGGTTAGAAACCTCACAAACCAAATATTTTACTGAAAAAGACTGAGATCAATTACTGATTGTGTGACGGTAGCTTTGTTTGGATGGTTGTCAAGTGAATCCCTTTACAAAGTTTATTTAGGGCTATTCTCCTGAAAAGGGTAATATTTAAGTTCAGATTTGAAGGGTAAGGAAGAGCCAGATAAATAAATTATATAGGCAAAGATTAAAAGTACACATGCTGCCATTTGCTCTACCATTTATAGAATCACAGAGCCACCATGCAGTACCACTATAGTATAGTTGTCTTTATACCACATACCTTTCATTTTACTCCAAGTTGGCTTAACATTTTTGTTCTTTCCTGTTATTTACCTCTCTTTTTTTCCCCTTTGCTATCCTCTTACCGCTTCTATCCAAAATCGAATAAAACAGCGAAAGTTGAAAAAACAATGATAATATTTGTTTTTTTCACATCGCCAAATCAGTATATAATAAAAAAATCTTTGCTCCCCCCCCCCGTTCCATA